TTGTATTTTGGACATTTGTATTCTTCAATATTAAAAATTCTATCATTCGTCGTCAACATTTTTAAAAATTGTTTTTCTGTTGAACCACCTTTGTATGCGATCACTTCGTCTTTGCACAAATTTCTAATATACCAATTTAATATGGGAATGATGTTCTCTTGTTTGTAGGCACATTTTAATTCTTCGGTCACATCAAAATATGGAATGCCGTGCACGTGTATTTCACAATAACGAACAGTTTTTTTGTCTTTTGGCGACAAATAATTGAAAGGATAACTTGGCTGAAACAAATAATGATCGATAAACGAATCATTTTTATTAGATAGTTTTACGTCTAGAATAGCCATTTCTCTACATTGAAAATGTTTATGAGGATATGTAATGTAAAATCCGTCCATGTCGATGATGTATCTAATATTTTTTAGATTTTGTGTCATTTTGAACCAAAATGTTAAAAGTATTTACACGTGACTAAAATATGTTTGTTCCAACAAACTTCACATAACAATTCATTCTTCATTACTTCCCATCACCCCACATCTTCCTTCTGCTCTTTTCTTCCTGTAATTTAAGAAAACAGAATCACATTTACTAATGATCAACTAATGACTGTCATTGTTAAAAAAGTATTTTTTAACTTTTTACTTTCTGCTATTGTCTTTGTATTTATGGCTAGGAAATGACCGCGGCGCGGACTCAATGCGTGTTGGCGAACTTCACATGCCTTCGAAATTTTCTCAGACATGCAGGTTTCCTCACGATGTTTTCCTTCACCGCCGAGCACGTGGTAAATCAGCACTTAAAATTGCAATTAACAATTTAAGTGGTGTCGGCGGGGATCGAACCCGCGTTACGTACTGTAAAATTTACAGCTTGCGCTAACCATCTGAGCTACCACGGCTTAATCATATACACACACAATATTTAAATATAATTTGTTAACACTAAATCATACACACGTAAGAAAATAACAGAAAGAAAAGTAAGTGTGTCAATAGAATAAACACTTAAAATTGCAATTAACAATTTAATTGGTGTCGGCGGGGATCGAACCCGCGTTACGTACTGTAAAATTTACAGCTTGCGCTAACCATCTGAGCTACCACGGCTTAATCATATACACACACAATATTTAAATATAATTTGTTAATACTAAATCATACACACGTAAGAAAATAACAGAAAGAAAAGTAAGTGTGTCAATAGAATAAACACTTAAAATTGCAATTAACAATTTAATTGGTGTCGGCGAGGATCGAACCCGCGTTACGTACTGTAAAATTTACAGCTTGCGCTAACCATCTGAGCTACCACGGCTTAATCATATACACACACAAAATTTAAATATAATTTGTTAACACTAAATAATAATAATAATAATAATATTCCACAACTATCACACAACGCCATCTAGTCCCAAGCTAAGCAGAGCTTGTGTTATGGGTACTAGACAACTGATAAACATACTTATATATTTCTAAATACATAAATATTATAGATAAATTACACCCAGACACAGAACAAATGATCGTGCTCATCACACAAACATTTGTCCTGGGTGGGAATCGAACCCACGACCTCCGGCATAACAGTCAGGGTCACTAACCACTAGACCAACACGCCTGTCGTTCAAAATCATACACACGTAAAAAAATAACAGAAAGAAAAGTAAGTTTGTCAATAGATTAAACACTTACATCTATGGCCTTTGATGCGTTGAAGTAACGCAAATGTATTATTGATAGATACACTGCGGTCAAACGACCATACACTAACTCCATGACTGCAGTTGCTTGGTCTTATATAGTACCAGTAAGTAATAATTCTAATCTAAAGAATTTCTACAGTAGAATTGATAATAACTTTATGCGTCAACAACCTTATCTCACATTCTTCGTGTTGCATCTTATTCAGTGTATTGATGACTCAAATACGTTTTGTATAACAGAAAGAATGCAATTTAATATTTAGAAATCACATAATTGATCATTCCTATGTTAGTCATTGAGTAGATTGTACTGTAGTAATCTACTAATAGCAGTAATATCATGGATACACTAGATGTACAACAACATCTGAAAAAGATTCACCCCAGTCTAGAAAATAATGTTTATGCTGCTAACAGACTGCCCATGTACACCCACGTACCAACGTATATACCTAGTCAGGTCATAAGTATTGTCACTCAGTAAAAACTTTTCTTTTAGAATGCTGGCCACAAAAAAGTTTATTGAATTCGAATTGTTCATGAAAATAAAACTGTATACTTTTTAGAATTTTACTCATTTTTACATATGGAGTGGACGCTTAAAAAAGACCGTGTTGCAGTTGCGATTACGCGCCAATTAAATTTTTTGATATACTGAAAAATTTGAATATAACCAAAAGATTCGTTTATCGTACCATCAAACGATACAATGAAGACTCTAGTGTAGATGACAGGTCAAGAAGTGGTCGCCCTCGATTTGTTAGGACTCCAGCAGTGATAAAAGCTGTAAAGGTGCGAATTCAAAGAAATCCCAAACGTAAGCAGAAACTGTTGGCCCTTCAGATGGGGTTATGCGGAACCACGGCGTTAAATGAAGACTTAGGGCTTCGGGCATATCGAAGAAAAACAGGACATCGTTTGAATGCTCGTCTAATGGATCTGAGACTGAAGAGATGCCGCGCTTTGGTGAAGCGGTACGCGGGAAAAAAATATCGGGAAATTCTTTTTTCGGATAAAAAAAATTTTACCGTAGAAGAGAGCTACAACAAACAAAATGATAAGGTGTACGCACACAGTAGTGAAGAAGCGAGCAACCGTATTCCGCGTGTCCAACGAGGTCATTTTCCATCCTCGCTCATGGTATGGTTGGGAGTTTCTTATTGGGGCTTAACAGAGGTACATTTTTGTGAGAAAGGTTAAAAACGAATGCAGTTGTGTATCAAAATACAGTCCTGACGAACCTTGTGTAACCTGTTTCTCATACCATGTTCAATAACAGGCACTGGGTATTCCAACAAGATTCGGCGTCAGCTCATAGAGCGAAGAGCACACAAGACTTTTGACAGCTCCGTGGCGTAGTGGCTTAGCAATGAGTGGCTGCGCTTGGGGGTCGCGGGTTCGAATCCCGCACGGAACAAGTATTTGTACGACCTACAAGTAATTGTTCCGAGTTTGGATGTTTGTCCTAAAAACCTAGTGTGGAGGTAACGTTCTTTAAAAACAAAAAAAAGACTGGCTGGCGGCGCGTGAAATCGACTTCATCCGACACAAAGACCAGTCCAGATTTGAATCCGTTAGATTACAAGATATGGTAACACTTGGAGGAAAAGGCGTGCTCAAAGCCTCATTCCAATTTCGAGTCACTCAAGACATCTTTAATTAAGGCAGCCGCCGATATGACATGGACCTCGTTCGTGGTGAGATAGACGACTGGCCGCGCAGATTGAAGGCCTGTATTCAAAATTACGGAGGTCATTTTGAATAAACTATAGTGTCATAAGAATCTATGTTTTGTTAAGTTCATTTTGGTATATAAATGGTTACATAATGAATAAACTTGTTTCAATTATTTTACATTAAACATGTGATAGAATTTATGACCTGACTAGGAATATGCAATTTGGGTACAGATGATAAACCAGGGTCACATTAGGTAGCTTTATATATCGATACGAATGACGTCGGTGAATATTTTGATTCATATGGACGGGCACCTGTACGAAATTGTAAAAGATGGAACTGGAATGTTGATAGGACTTCAGTTTGTGGCGAATATTGCTTAATGTATTTGCTATATAAGTTTCAGGGATGTTCAATGCATAGTTTTACGAGTATATTTACAGAGAACACATTGTACAACGATATGTTAGTGGATGAGATGTTTCGCTCCTATTTTATAGATAATAAGTAATAAGATTTTGTATTTTATAAATAAAAATTTTAACAAAATTAGGTAATGTGTTTTAAAGATGGAACTGGAATGTTGATAGGACTTCAGTTTGTGGCGAATATTGCTTAATGTATTTGCTATATAAGTTTCAGGGATGTTCAATGCATAGTTTTACGAGTAGGTATATTTACAGAGAACATATTGTACAACGATATGTTAGTGGATGAGATGTTTCGCTCCTATTTTGTAGATAATAAGTAATAAGATTTTGTATTTCATAAATAAAAATGTAGTAATGTGTTTTATTGATGATTCAGATTAGTGTTGTAGATAGGAACAAAGGAGTATAATACAATAGCATAAGCCGACCCACACGCTGACGAATAATAGATAATGACGGTAGTCAATCAACAATAGATAAGTAGATAAGGACAATGGAGCGCTAATGACGGTTGAGGCTCGCAGCGGATATCTATTAGATAAGAGTTAATTGATCTGCACATCTCCGGAACCGTGCATCCTACGCAAAAATAGACCGCAGATTCGTGATCAGAGCATGCCAAAACTTTTTTTTTTGTTTTTTTTTTTTTTTTAGGATTGTGAGTCGACGAACGTCGTGCGCCAGAACTGGTACAACCTTTCTACAAGTGCGCCAGAACTGGTACAACCTAACTACTAGTCGGTGCTAAGACTAAGTGTGTGGAATTATCAAAGCCCGACTCCTGGAGTTACTTTTGCGGTAGTTTGTTCTTTTGTTTGCGGAAATTTGTTTCTTCTTATTTTGCGGAAAAGATTTTAGTGTGATGCCATTGAGTGTCATTAAAATTTATAGTGGTCCCAAAACGTTTATCTCCTTGCTTGTTTAAAGTCAATGATGTCAATTGGACCGTTTTAAAACACATGAAAATTCATCTCTTACATTCTTATATTATGAGGGATGTTTTATACTGCTATAGAACTCACGGCTATGGCGGTCCTGATTAATATAAAAAATTACAACCTTTTGGCTTGTTCTATTACATAAAGAGACATATTAACATTGAAGATTGTAAACTCTGCGTATCGTAGAGAATTCGATATAGTAATTGCAAAAACATAAATCTTTATCTTTCTTTATTTCAGACTCTTCGATTCTTGCATCTAAGAGTTTGAAGAAGTCAAAGGATCCCCTGCCCGATGTAGAGACTTTCCGAGCATCTCGCAGCAAGACGAAAAGCTCGGTCAAGGTAAAGAGTTATTGTCGGTGTCGTGCATAAATGCATATTTTGGGGTAAAAGGGTATGCTAGCATTTTCCTTAATTGTCAACCTCACTTACAAGTACTGTACTTTTGATCATTCATGGATGAGTCTATGGTGATCGACTCGACCGTGAAATAACTATTCACCACGCTGAACCTAAATGTCACAGGCTCATGATGAGGAGAAGCTTAGCAGTTAGCTTTAGTTTTTAGACGTTTTATAATTACAGAAAAGGGGATATCATAGTACGTTAAGAATAAATATATGCATTTATCTTTAATATCCGGATCTTTTGAAAACTTGTAATAAAAGCATTGTATTAAATAAACAGGTGTATAAATAATATTAATACAGCATTAACAAACAGCAAACAAATAAATATATGTATGGGTGACATATTTAAATTTTTTTATTATTTTTAAAGATCTGTAAATGACTTTCTGCTGTTTGTTACTTTTCAGTTACCCGGCTTCTTATAGATTGAATTTAGTCTACTTTCCTTACAATATAATTACTTATACTTACAATATAAAATAGAATAAAAATTATCAAGTAATTTATAAGTACAAACAAACTGATAATCGCTGATATACGGTTAACAGTATAAAATGTTTAGAAAGAAAAAAATAATGGAGAAGGTGTAAATAAATATTTAAAGAAAAATCAAATTTCATTCCCATTTCGGTAAATCTAGGAAAGCCAAACATAATAAATTATCGATACCAATTAGTAGTGTCACATCACTATCTCGCGCTCGACTTCTGCGGCCGTGTTCTTGGAAAAATGTACGTACGTGACAATATTGTTTATTGCCCATACTATAAACCCGTCGCTGTTTTTAGCTGTCGTACTCGTAGACATGAACTAGCTTAAGAATCAGTGGATATTGAAATTTGAAAACAATTAAATTTTCAGAGACAATCGTGGTTCAGGAGGTGAATAATTTGATTTAAGTATATTTCATTAAAAACAACATTATTTAAAACACTATGTACTTATTTATTAAATGACCCCTTATTTGAAAATTTGCAAGTTGTGGAAGAATTTCCGCGGTTGAATATGCTTCAAAACACCATTTTTACGTCTCTTCGGCCGAAACAATACTGGTGACCGAAATAAACGCTCCTCGCGCGCTTGTGACCTACGAGTCACATGTGCGGCGACAAGGTCACGTGCTTTTACTACTTCTATTGTCTAATTATTTATATTTTGATACCCCCAGCATATTACATGTATTTACATCCAGAAGGCGGTTGTTTCAGATGCGTCGAGGCTACTCCCTACACTGTTGGCTTCCAGAAGGCGATCCTACACCGATAAGGTATATTTACATATTCCTATAGTTTTCAAGATTATGGTTAATAAAGTTGGAACATAAGACCTCTATTTAAAAATTATATATGCTATAGTTAAAACCAGATTTTAGATATAACGCGTTTTCCCTAGTTAAAACTAGTTTTTACTCAATGCCTTTATTATAACTGCAGTTAACTAATGCTCAAAATTGAATATCAGGTAAAACTAGTTTTTACTGGACAAAATGCGTTTTTCCGAAGCGAGTCAGTTAGAACTGTTTCGATCGAGGTTAAACGACCAAGGCTTTGGTTTTGGATTTGATTTCATTGAGTTACTTTGGACTTGCTTACCGGACCTGAGAATGAGCGATTATTATAGATAAGATAGGTCGAATCTGTACTAAAACCGAATCAGAACTCCCCGACTTCACGTAGTCTTGTCTACCCTACCCCTAGAGTGTTTTTGTAAAGCCGTAGGCGCGAAGGGAGAGCAGCCTCCTCCCGCTGTAGCAAATCGCAGGCATCTGTGCGAGCCGTAGCGGAGGTGAGCATGAGTGCCTGTGGTTTGGTACGCATGCAAAGCAAATATACTGACGCAAGGGCGAAGGGGCTGCACTTTCCGCAGTGCTGAAACCGATCCAGAAGTAACTGTAAGTATATCTTGTTTTCAATCCCGAATTAGTTTATTTAGTGCTAATATTAACTAAAACTCGGAGTGACAACTAGTTTTATCTGAAAATGGAATATATCAGTAGTAAAGTTTAGTTCTGACTAGGTGTTCCTAGATTTCACAAAGACATTTAGTAAAAACTAGCTTTAATTAGAGAAAACGCTTTCTATCAAAAACGGGTTTTAACTGTAACTTACGAGTATAAAAGTAAAGTAAAGTAAAGTTACAGCCTATATTCGTCCCACTGCTGGGCTCAGGCCTCCCCTCATTTCTGAGAGGGTTTAGGGCAAGGAAGTGTCCGCCGCGCTGCCCAAGTGCGTGTTGACGAACTTCACATGTCTTCGAAATATTTTTTTTTCTTATTCCTCAGACATGCAGGTTTCCTCACGATGTTTTCCGTCACCGCCGAGCACGTGGTAAATCAGCACTTAAAATTGCAATTAACAATTTCATTGGTGCCGGCGGGGATCGAACCCGGGTTACTCGCGTTCTGTTATGTTTACAGCGAGCGTTAACCACTGAGCTACCACGGCTCAAAGAGCCGTGGTAGCTCAGTGGTTAACTTACGAGTATACAAATATATTATTAAAATAGGTTTAAACGAACTAGATTTTTTTCAATGTTATATATCTAATAGGTAAAAATTACGAGTATGTCCACTCATGTAGGTTCCAAGTGTAGATATTATAATTTGTAGTTCGATTCTTGAATTAGCGGATTCTTAGCAGCACATGTTTAAAATTGACGATATGTACTTTTTCGTAGTCACTCTTTCACACATTTTGACTCATAAGCCATTCATTACATGGAAATAATTGCAAGTAGTATTTTCTCCTACTACAACACAAATTATTTCAGAACACAGACTCTCGCTCTGGTTAGTTTACTAGTGGTTACTGGCACAAAGTTACAGCCTATATATATTTGAGACACCTGCTGATTGAATAAAAACACTATATTCTCTCTTATGTCGCCAAAACAAGGCATTTAATATGTATTAGATTAATGTAACGTTTATTCATAGTAAATTTTGTAATTGTTACTGTACCTGTGTCAAAGATGGAATATCATCCAATCTTTCGTAGGTATCTTTACGATTAACTTTCTATTGAATCTTTTTACCCGACTGTTTTTTAAATGAGTTTTTACAAAAACTGTCAGATTATAAGAATTCATGGTATAAAGTTTAGTGACAGTAAATATAATCTGGTTCATTCGCAGGGCCAGTAACGGCTTGTCGGTGCTGGGGTCAGCCATCGTGCCGGAGCTGAAGCCGCGCGTGCGCAGCATGAGCCAGCGAGACTTGACTCGCGTGCACCGCCTGCTCCCTGCCTTCTGCCGATACTGAAACAATAAATAATGTTTATAATTACGTACACTGTTGTTTTATTTCACTTAATTTGCATTTCACTTATAATGTTAATTGTAAACTTCTTATATTATTAATATGATATTTCTTCCCCGGATCTCTGTGCAGATCAGACGTGATATACTTAGTTCATTTTTTCAAATAATTAAAATTTTTTAAAATTGTGAAGTGTTAAATTGTACGAAATAATAGGAGAGCGTAAACTATAAGAAGCCAGTGTCGTCGCTCAGTGTTAATGGTGAGTGAATCAAATACGTAATCACTTGCATTCAGGTAAGTTTAATTTGCCCACTGCACACATACTTGCTTGCCTAGTACTTCCTGTTTGCCCCATTTCATCATCATCATTACAGCCCTTCACAAGTCCACTGCTGAACATAGGCAAGGTATGCCACAAAGCACGGTCCTGAGCCACCTGCATCCATCGACTTCCTGCATGTCTTACCAGGTCGCCACTCCATCTAGTGGGGGGTCGCCCTACACTTCGCCTACCGGTACGAGGCTGCCACTCGAGAAACCTTTTTCCCCAACGGTTGTCGGTTCTTCGAGCTATATGGCCGGCCCATTGCCACTTCAGCTTACTAATCCATTGGGCTATGTCAGTCACTCTGGTTCTACTGCGGATATCCTTATTTCTAAGTTTATCACGCAGAGAAACTCCGAGCATAGCCCTCTCCATAGCCCACTGAGCGACTTTGAGCGTCTTCGTACGGCCAGCAGTGAAGGACCACGTCTCGGTTCCGAAGGTCATCACTGGCAACACGCACTGGTTGTACAATCTAGTTTTTAGAGATTGAGGTATACCTGACGAGAAGATGTGTCGTAATTTCCCGAACGCTGCCCAGCCGAGTTGAATCCGTCGATTGACCTCTCGGTCGAAGTTGGACTTACCTAGTCGGAATATTTGTCCCAGGTAAACGTACTCGTCAACAACTTCGAGCATAGTGCTCCCAAAACTACCGGCATAGGTGTGACATGGACATTAAACATGATCTTTGTTTTGTCCATGTTCATCTTAAGACCTATCCGTTGGGAGGCACTATTGAGGTCATTGAGCATAGTGCTTAGGTCTTCCAGCGATTCTGCCATAAGGACTATATCGTCGGCAAATTGAAGGTGAGTGATGTACTCGCCATTGATGTTAATACCGTATTCTTTTCAGTCCAGTACCTTGAAAACGTCTTCCAATGCAGCGGTGAAGATTTTCGGGGAAATAACGTCACCCTGTCTTACACCTCTCTGCAGTTGGATAGCTTTCGTACTCTGGTCCTGTACTCGGATAGCCATCGTAGCCCTATTGTACAAACACTTCAGCACTTCGATATACCGACAGTCAACTTGGCACCGCTGCAGAGACTGTAGCACCGCCCAAATTTCGACGGAATCAAAGGCTTTCTCATAGTCCACATACGCCAGGCAAAGTGGCAGATTGTACTCTTCGGGCTTCTGTACAATTTGCCGAAGGGTATATATGTGGTCTATGGTACTAAAGCCTTTACGGAAACCGGCTTGTTCGGGAGGCTGGAAGTCGTTGAATCTGCCTGCGAGACGATTCGTCATGACTCTTGAAAACAGCACATCGACGCGGCTCAGAAGGGATATCGGTCTGTAGTTCTTCAAGAGAGCGTTGTCTCCTTTCTTAAAGAACAGGACCACCGCACTTCTGCTCCACGCCTCCGGAGTAGTGCCACCATGGAGGACGGAATAAAGAGCCCCTGAAGGACTTCAAGTACCGGTTTTCCACCCGCTTTCCATTAATTAATTAATTTAATTAATTAATGGAAATACGCCGTAATTCCATCCTCGCCCGGGGACTTGCCGTTTTTGAGCTGTTGGAGAGCCATTCTAATCTCGCTCAGACTGACATCCGGGATATCATCGGAATAGTGTCAGATAAGACTTGCTCTTGGATCGTTACTCACACTTACGTGTGGCTCCAACGATGATGTGTACAGTTGCCCATAGAACCTCTCAATCTCACTCAGAATCTCAGGTGTCGCGGAAACGATGCTGCCACACTCAGTCTTCAGCTTTGACAGTTGGCTCTTACTGGCAGATAGATCTCTGGCGAAGACTTTGGAGCCCTGGTTCCGCTCGATCGCTTCTTCAATACGAGCAGTATTAAAGTTGCGTAAGTCTCGCCGCATGCATTTGAAGATCTGTGTGTTCAGTTGTCTGTATGCTGTCAAATCTGTTGACGATTGCAGCCTCATCTCTTGTATAACAGCCGTGAGATTAGGAGTGCGATCGAAGAGTTTTTGTGTTCATCTGCGTCGGGTCTTGCAGAACTTAGCTCCGACCGCATGGACAGTTTCCACAAGCTTGTCATTCATATAGTCAACTGCATTGCAATTTTCTAGGAGGCATTGAAAGCGGTTACGCAACTCGAGTTGAAATGTTTTGGGATTCTGGATTAGAGCACGAGGGGGACGGAGCGTTGACTTCATTAGATGAGACCTCTTCAACTTAACGTTTAGGTGCCTCTAACCATTCGGTGATCGCTGCCAGTTTTCACCCTTGCGATCATTGAGACATGAGACATGTTTGCTCATGCTCGGCTACTATTCCGTTTAAACGTGCCCCGTCTACTACGTCGACCGCAATGTTGCATGGTAAATCAGACTCTAATATTGCCGATTCGCCGACAAAAGCAACTATTGTTGTGCCTACCGTTTCACGCGTGCAAACTACGAGCGATCCTAATATTGCAATAAAGAAACGTAAGAGAGATACTGACATTAGCTGGTCAGAAATTATGGAAATGTTTTCTGCGCTCAAAAAGGAACAAAATGACAAATTCACCGCCCTGATGGATAGGGTTCAGAGTGGTATTAACACGTGCACAGAGCAAAATAAGGCTATTTCCAGTTCCATTGACTTTTTAAGCCAAAAATATGATGATTTACTATAAAGAATAAGTTCTTTAGAACAGGAAAAAACATCTAACCGCAAATGTATACAGACTCTAGAGAACAAACTGGAGTAGATGGAGAATCATCATCGCAGCTCGAGCATTGAAGTACGTAATTTACCCAAAAAAAAAAAACAAACGGAGAATCGAAATAAGACCTATTAAATATTACAAAAAACGTAGGAGCTGCCATCAGTGTACCAATTCAATTGGAAGAGATCCGTGACGTCTACCGCATAAACACTAAGAAAGATAATAACCAGCCCATAATAGCGGAATTGTCAACCTTGTTCTTAAAGAATAAAATAGGTAAGTTCGCCAAGGCATACAACAAAAATATATACGAGCTGCAAGTTGAATACCTCAAACTTAAAACTTAAAACTTTCGTGTCTGAGGGTTTGACAATTAAGGCGAAGAAACTCTTGTTTTTGACCCGGGAATATGCTATACTTAATACCTTTAAATATTGCTGGACATTAAGGGGTAAAATATATCTTCAGAGGGCGGATGGAGCTCCACTTATACAGGTGAAGAGCGAGGGCGACCTAGATAACATTAACAAAAAAAATTTTTAGCATTAATTCATATGCGTATATCACCGATACCTACTCATATACTTTCGCTGACAACTCAACACGTAAAATTACATCATAAATTACTTTTATTTAATAATCTAGTACGAGTACATAAATTTCACACTTACACTTTACACTCAAGATTTATAAATATTAAATACTCCAGTAATATGTTACTATTTATGGTTTCTATGTCCGGATATCTAATAATATATTGTTTTGAAATATTTACTTTTCAGAAATATGTAAATCATTATTGTACACTGCAACCCATTACTATTTTGATTCGAAATGGATGATAACTCTTTTATCACAGCCGAAGTTGATATCTTTAATAGGATAGAATGTCTTTCACTAAGTGACCTAAACAGCATAAAATTTTTAAAATCGGATATAATAATAATAATAATAAATTTTATTGCCTCTAAAACACACAGTTACATTCACGTTAAAAACAAAAGAACATTATAATTATTTGAGACAAAAGGAGACGGCTCAGCTTTGTCTGTAACGAGATACAGATCTCATACAGAGCTGTTTTTCAGCCGCTCCCTCCTCCCTGAGGTGTTGTGCGGGAGTCCAAAGTAGCAGGCTCCCCATTTACCTGACTTATACTTTTAAGCTATGTACAAAGTAATTAAATATTATATCAATATAAAATAAAGAGTAAACACACATTTTTCACAGATCACACAGTCTAAAGAGAAAAGTAAAATATAAAAGTCACTAAAGAAAATAAAAAACATTATAAATAAATAGAACAAACATAATAAACCATAACAGTGTAATATATAACTATCAGGTAATTAATTTATATAAATAAAGTTAAATATGTATGCAGCTTGTAACATAATTGATGCACTTTGAGAAAGTAGTTTGTTCAGAATCGTTTACTGAATCGAATTCTATCATTTTTAGTATAGGTAATTTTTTATCACAAAGGTAATTGAAACTGCGTAAATTACCGTCGCACTAAATCTGTACAGTCAAAGAAAACTGAAATGGACCGTAACTTAAGGCAATAAGACTTTTAAGAGCGCAGTTTTATTTGTATTATTACTAATTCTGTCATTCAATAAAAGTAAAGAAAAATGAACTTTATTTAATGAACTTTATTTCAAGCACGTTAAAGTCTTCGCGTTCGTGGATTTGTACTGTGACTAATTGGGGTGTCTGAGGGTGTGCATTAGTTACGTTACATATTGTATATATGAATATATATATATATATATATATATATATATATATATATATATATATATATATATATAAGATCATAAAGTTAACATAACAACAAGATGTCATAGGTTTATATATTATTGTGTTAACTATATAATTGTGTATTAATGTGTCCAATATTAGGAGTACATAAGGTGGTTCATTGCTTTGTAAAAGAGCGCCTCTCGCCATCAAACGTAAAAGTTTGGCGAGTTTAAAATTAAGTAACACCACTGTCTTATAAATTCATTAATAAATAATAAAAAAAATAATA